ATATATATATATAAACGTTTTACATTATTAGAATGAATATAATTAAAAACTGTATTAATTAATTGAGCTTACATATACAATAATGAAAGTTTCAGTGTTTTTTTTCGTCACTGTGTTGGAAGAGATTTATTACATGCTTTTATCAATTTATTTAATTATTATTTTATTTTTGTTAATATTTTGTTAATATTCGTGAGATATATATAGCAAAGATTTAAATAATTTTTGTTAAACACTTTACTCTATTTATTTTTATTAGTATTTATCTGAAAATTATCGCAGAGTAAGAGCTTCGTTTCTTTCACGTCAGGTATTAAGGGGCGCCACTGTACAAAGCTTGTATTCTAAACACCAAATGTTGAATTTAAGCGTAATTCTTGACCTATTTTAATAAACAAAGTTTCATTTTAAAGATGAAAGCTTAAACGACTAACGATTATTTCGAATTTTTGTAAAAATTTCATTCTTATGCATAGACTATTTCCTAAAAGAGAATATTTTTTAAAGAAAATCAAACTTTTTAAAAATTTTGACAAAGTCACCTTGTCATATAAATCTTTATTTTTAAAATGAAATTTTGTTTATAAAATTCGGTTATGAATTACGTTTGAATTTATTATTGACGTAAATCATTATAAAAGCCCGAGTAATGAAAAGTCTTAAATTACAGTTTCTTACAATGAATATCAGTGTAGCCAACATTGACAAAAATTTAACCATTCGGAAAGTTCGAATATTCGTCTGCCATGGTTTCTTGCATTACGTCATTTAAAGGGTTGAAGGGAACTCATTTGTTTTTAAAAATATTTATATTACAATGCTCTGCTCTGGTTGGTTAAATGTCGTCATAAACGATAGTGATTGGTTTTGTTAAATAACTATGTTCAAATAAGAGGCAAGAATTGTAATAATAAGCTACAGTTGTTGGAAGAAGGAGTTCCCCATCTAGAATCTGATGGAACTACGAGAAGTGTCAGAAAAATTTGTATTTTGTCATCTTGTCATTGGTTTACCGGGAGTACTGTCAAAAGTCGTTTAATTAATTAACGTTTAAAGAATAATAATACTAAGAAATTATGGGTGACGGCAAGGAAAGCGAACGACAACCTCTCTTGAAAAATGAAAATGTCACATACAGTTCAAATGGTAGCGACTTAATGGGTTAATAATAATAGTTTTGAAAAAAAAATCGAGTGATATTAATAATAAAAGAAGATCTATTCTGCCAATTAATTTATTTATTTATCTTTTTTTAGTCGAACCAGATTCAACAGTTAGTACAGTATCTCCAATAGGTCCAGATGAATTACCTCCGCCATATGAACCAGCTGATCAGGGTGGTAAGCCAATGGTTACTTGTAGGGTATGTCAAGCTATGATAGATATTACTGGCAAGAGAGAACAACATGTTGTTAAATGTTGTCAATGTAATGAAGCAACGGTATGTTCACAATGAATTTAAATTCAAAGTTTATAAAGAAGGAAAATGTTATACGTATACTTTTATATTTATTACAGCCTATAAAAAATGCACCACCAGGTAAAAAATATGTACGATGTCCATGTAATTGTCTTTTAATATGTAAAAGTTCTTCGCAACGCATTGCTTGTCCAAGGCCAAATTGTAAGCGTATTATCAATCTTGCTCCAAGTCCTATAACACCTCCGGTTCTTTCAATGCCAGGAATGTGCAGAGTATGCTGTGCTCATTGCCATGATACATTTCTCGTAAGCAATCAATAATTATTTACAATAAATAATATTTCATATATATTTTTATGTTTTATTACATTGTTGATATTTGTTACAGTTTAACACATTGAATAATGCTTTAGCACGGTGCCCACATTGTCGTAAAATATCATCTGTTGGTCCAGATTTTGCTAGAGGTCGTGGTATTGCATTTATTATTGTTGGCATTATAGCTTTAGTAATTGCGATTGCTGTAACGGTAAGTTTTATAATCATATATTAATTATAATAAGAGAAAATAGAAAATGAAGGCAAATATAGATCTTTAAAAGTGATATTTTCAAATGTTCATTAAACAATATGGAGTTTATTTTTAGGTCGGAACATATGCATTTGTAAAAACTAATGGAGGAATTTATGTAGCTTATGTTGGTGAGTTCTATGGATGATATGAATTCAATGAATTCTATTAAAACACGTATTTATAAGTATGTTATTTAAAAATTGTTCGAACTTGTTTACTTTGAGAAGTAATATTTTGTTTATTCGTTTATAGGTGCGTTTTTATTAGCTCTTCTTTGCCTAGGACGCAGTATTTATTATTGCACTATGAAGATCAGTCTAATAGAAGGTCCTATGTAGTTGTTCAAAAGACTATTGGTGATTAGAATATGGAAATCAATTCTTTTAACATCATTATTGTATAATCTATGTCGTATAATATAGAACAAATGTTTATAGTAACATGACATTAGTCCTTCAAGGACCAAGGTGATATCTTTATGCATGTTAACATATGCCAATGAACGCATGCGTGATGACGAATGCGCGTATACCTACCATGCATATACACATGCAAATATGTTATACAAAGAGAAAGTGAATCAACTTAAATAATACTTCTTGCATGCAACTATACGAAATGAGAATATATTAGGAATTAATGAGGGTTTGTGAGTGCTAGAAGAAGCGTTCCTCTGCATTTTTATATATAAATCTATCTAAGCATAGGAACAACACGATAAACCATTTATTTTGTTTTTACATTCGTATTAAATACGTCATAAATGCTTTGTATATGTATATCTTTGCAGTATCTACGTAAGATGCACATTGTTTATCCGTTATATTTATTCCAATTATATGCTGATATACGTGCATGAGATACTAATAAAAATTGTTTTTAAACTTATGCTCATATTTATCTATAAGAATCTGTATCAAACTATGCAATCACAATTAAAAAATTTTTTGCTGGTATAATATGACTTTTGATTCAGTGACTATACATATTATCCAATTTGTAAAATTATTTTTAAATCATAATATTCGAACTAACCATTGTTTTTTTTAAATAAATCTTTTGTTATTAAATCACATTCTATGTAAAAACAAATATAAAACAAAAGCATTCAAGATATTCTGAGGCTTGGACGACTCCATACTTCGTTCTAACGATTATAGATAAATAGGATATATATATATATATAACAGTGATAGAAAGAATATATAACATCTATTGTTCTAAGAAAGTAAACAGTATAATAACCTTTGCTATCACAAACCTACATTTTTTATATTTTAAAGTCATATCAATTATGAGAGAGTACAATGAATCATATTGTGTACATTTTAATTTAATGATTATTGAATATATTTTATTTACATGTGGATTTCTTTTATATTATGAATATAATTATTGCAAATGATATATAACATAAAACAATCATGAGCATATTAATAAAATATCTTTTTTTTACAATCAAATTCAGAAAAGTGAATATAATTAAAATTAATCATTGTAATGAATATTTTAAAAACTGCCAAATGTAAACTACAAGAATTTATGAAAATTAATAATAATATATATGTGTATCAAAATAATGCTATTGAGTATCGATACATGCTTTAAGCATTGTAACACAGATAATATCACACATTCAATTTCGTTTGGATTGATTGTGAAACAAGCCTTTGTTATACGCTTTTTCATCTCTTCTCAGGTTGTAGGTATTTCATCGTACACTTGTTGCTTTAACTTTCCCTATAAGTAGAAATGTAAAGGTGTTAAGTCTGGATCATTTTTAATTTCCAGCCCGACTAGTCCAATAATCTACAAAGCTCCTGTTGAGAAAATTCATAATAATCTGTGCAGAACGAGCACGTCACTCTTCATATTGGAACCACATGAATTTTCGCATGTGGACTGGAACATCTTTCAACAATTGTAGCAAAACTTCTGTCAAAATCTGTTGATATTTGCGAGTGTTCAATTTTCCATCAACAAAGTGGAGACCAATTATATTATTGTTAATAAGTCCACACCAGATGTTTATAGACTATGGTCTTTATTTATCCACTTCCTATAACCACAGTGGATTTTCTATAGACCAACAATTGTAACAATTAACTTGGGCACTGTTTGTAAGAATGTAGCTTCATCCGAAAAGAAAATTTTGGTCAAAAATGTATTATCATCCTGTTGTTTTCTTAGTTCACATTTGCAGAAATTTACACGATTTTGAAAGTCATTCCTTTAAAATTCTTGAAACATGAAAAACATGTAAAGGGTGAAATAAATTCAAATGCAATATTCGCAAAATACTTCACTGACTGATGTCACTTACATGTGACAGCTATCTTAAACTAAGATGTGTTGTGCTACAATTTTAAAAATATTTTCTGTATTTTTGCTATTAGTTACTGTTTTAAATTGTTTACGTGTTTTATTATCCACGCTTCCAGTTTCTTCAAAAGTTTTGATAATGTTAGTAAAGACAGATCATGAAATGATTCACATTCAAGAAATCTTTGCATATACAAACGAACTGCTTTTTAAAAATTTGATGACATTGACCGTAAATGAAAACTTTATTTATCTTTTCCGCTTTTGTATAACGCATTTTTAAAACCAAAGTAACGCTCACTCAACTATTCACAAATATATGGATTGCGTGTAAACAATGCAATGCTGTAATCTGTACTTGGTAATATCTTTCACTTTAAAAGTACATTAAAACACAGTTTTAGATGATTAAATTATAATTAAAAAAGAAAAAAAAGGCAATTTAAACATATAGGCATACTTTAATAATAAATATTACAATTGAATATAATATCATATAACAAATAATAACTTTTGTAAAAGAAGTAAGATAATTTGGGTTGAAAAGTTTAAAAATTAGTTTGATCGACAAAAAATTATTTCTATACAAGATAATTTGAATACATGTACTTTAATAATTAATATTATAATTGAGTTTATATATGTTTAATCCTTTATAATATCGATAAACTAACATGAAATGTGCGAGGAAAACAAAATATGAAACGAAACAAATCAAAACACATAAGACATTGTAATAATTTATATCATACTAAGGTAAGTGAACCAATATATTGGCATATCGTTCAAAAAGATGACATACACGAAAACCACTATATTGCCGTACAGTTATTAAGAGATTAAATGTATAAAGTTAGATTGAAATATTTTAAGCTTAATATTTGTTAAGAATCATTTTTTTCTGGTTTAAATTCACTTTTATTTTTTTGTGTAGTTTAAAACATTTTCAAAAAGAATAGGCTAAAATCTTTTCAACATATTCTCGTAATGATTGGTCAATCGTACTTAGGAGGTATTGGTTAAACTAAACGCGCCTTAAGTTTTTTAAATGAAAAACTTTTCTCTCTGCTTGGTTATGTTCTACAGTCTATGGTAATATGGCGGTAGCGACATGTTGCTGACAATTTGATATGGGATGGGCGTCATTTTAAACGAATGTAGCTCTTTTTTTCTCAATAGTGATAATGAATACTGATATCACGGCAAATAAATATGGCGATCAATTAATGTTAAAATCGTTTACCTTTAAGTTACGACAGGTTTCATCGAAATTTATAGAGAGAAAGTGTTCATTTTGTTACGTCGGCCTGTCAATAGTTAATTCTCGTGGTGTAGATATCGTGTTGTTTAGGCTTTAAAATTTCAAAGCTATAGTTTCGATAATATAGTGCACCTCATAAATGTCAAAATGGCCCGGGAATATGACCATTTATTTAAGCTGTTAATGATAGGAGATAGTGGTAAATATACTTATATATATGTATAGCAATTTTATATAGCACTTGATAATATAAAACAATGTAAAATACACATATATATGTGAGAGTTATAACTGGATACATATATGTATATATGATTCACAGTTGATCAAATATTACAAACTTATTGCTCTTACGAACGAAAAAATTACTTAATAAATAATATTACAATAATATACAATAATAATTAATATTGATTTAAAAGTAATAAAAAACACAGCTTTTGATTTATATAAAATTTATAGATTATTTTTTCTTTTTTGAAATTATAATCATTCAATTATCTTTGTTCTTGTATTTGTAATTGCAAAAGTTTAAATATATGAAACATATTTATATAAAATAATTGCAAAGTAAACAAATTATTGAGATTTCAATGGGCTATTCTTTATGCAGTATGTTATTAATTGATTCATGCTTAAGATGACAGTGTAAAGTCAATGCCATTTTTTATTAATATAGTGTATATCATTATATATGATTACATGTATCCATAATATTATGTTACCCTTCATTAAAATAGTATGCTCTTACATAATCGTACAATTGTTGTAATTGTCAAGAGATTTGATTGATTGTAATTTATTATTATGTATTTCTTATCTTAATTGAGATAAAATAAGTAGAATCTCCTTCAATAATGCATACGTTTGCTTTTTGTTTACAGGAGTAGGTAAGAGTTCCCTTCTCCTGAGATTTGCAGACAATACTTTCAATGGCAGTTATATAACTACAATAGGAGTGGACTTTAAAATACAAACTGTAGAAATAGACGGTGAGAGAGTAAAGCTGCAAATTTGGGATACAGCTGGACAAGAACGATTTCGGACAATAACTTCAACTTACTACAGGGGAACTCATGGCGTTATAGTTGTATACGATGTGACCAGTGGTGACTCATTTGCAAATGTTAAACGGTGGTTACACGAAATAGAGGAAAATTGTGACGTTGTTAACAGGGTACTTGTAGGAAATAAGAACGATGCGCCTAATCAGAAAGTAGTGCTTACGGAAGATGCACAAAGGTTTGCCAATCAAATGGGAATTCAACTATTTGAAACATCTGCTAAGAATAATATCAATGTTGAAGAGGTATCGTTAATTTTGTTAAGCTAACGATATATATATTTTATCATTTTATTTAATTTTATACCTCAATATAAAACTATGTAATATATATTTTGTAGATGTTTATGGCAATAACACGGCAAGTATTACGGACCAAAAGAGAACGGAATGAGCGTCAAGCTATACAAACGAATGAAACAGTTAATTTGAGAAAAAATACAAAACAGCATAGGAAAAAATGTTGTTAACAGCACCACAAAATCGTGCAAACTGTTAATAATATTATTTTATACAATAATAGGATAGAGAGAAAAAAGAGAGAGAGAGAGAGAGAGAGAGAGAGAGAGAATACAATAGTGAGTCCATGTTTGTAAAATAGCGAACATGAGATGCCATACACCTTGATATTTTCTAAAATCATCAAATTTTGTACCGCGATTATGAAATTTAAGATTGCTTCCTAATGAAATTTAACTTTGAACTGTATTTACATTCAAAGCTTGAAATTTCCTGAGCAATATATAGCTTATTCAGCCAAAGTGACTCTGCATGGTATTCTATACGTTTTTATTCGTACAAGAATACTATTTGACGCTGTAATAAGAACAAAGTTTATTTATTTTATAAGATCTACAGAGAAAAATATTAGCGAAAGAGAAAACGGAAATTTTTATTCCTCTTTTACATTCCTTGGAAATAAAATTGGACATTTTTAATGAAATATGAAAAAGTATATTTAAAAAATATAAATTTCATGTAAAAATTAACTTATCATTTTATTGGCTGAAATACTTGAGTTTTATAAAGCAAATTCGATTTGTTAATAGTATTCAGAAGACAATTCTATTTTATGTAATATGTTACTCTCTAATTCTAGTAAATGATCATTAATGTTTAACGAAGTATCAATAACTTTCAAATGGTTTGCTTCAAAAATATAGTTTTAAAATCGGTAATTGTTTCTTTAAGTTTAATTTAAATATTGAATTGAAATGTGAATCATCATTCGAATTAGTTGTCATACCGCACAAAGAAGATAGTTATACGAAGCAGAAGTTTGACATTAATTTGGTATTTCGTATTCTATCTAAACTACAATAAAATACATAAAGCTAATTCGAATATTTATCCTGAAAGAATAAGCTTATCATCAACCTCATATTAATTTTTTATCTCAAAATTATAATATTGTTATAGATTTAGTTGCTTCCTTTACAGTTATTTTTAATTGTATGCTATGAAATAGTGAAAAATACGAGTGTTAAATGTTGCTTGGAAAAGTCCAAGAATTATTATTCATTTGTATTTTTGAAAATGAAATGAGATTGCATGTAAATTGAAGTTATACCAAATTATGTATAAAGCGATGAAGCGCTAAATAATTCCCTTGCCCATACATTTTTGTCCTTGTCTGCGTTACTTTTTCATGTTATGTTTCTTATATTACCTTATTGACATCATTGAAAAAATAGAAGAAGAGATATTCGAAAACAATTGTCTTTTCTTTTAAGCTTTCGCGTGAATTTGTATGCGAATTTTTAATATCAATAATTAATTATATCTAGCCTGTTTATAAAAATATCGTATTTTGCTAAAATATGAATAGGAAAATATAAATACAATAACGATATTAACCGTTTAAGTATCATGGGCCACTTTTGCGTTATTCAAATTTCTGGTCGAAAAAACCCAGCGTATTTCGTCGATAAAGACAACTGATGGCACGCTCTCAGATTGCGGACCCATAATTAAAAATGTGCAATTGTGCTCTTCAGCTTTTTTCGACATTTAATTGATGAAGCATTATCGCACTACTCAGCTTTTTTCAATCGTGTTTTTTGAAAACTTTGCGGTATGCAAACGGTTAATATACTTTCTAAAATATCTCGTATTGTGATATTATATTCTTTTAAATAATATGTTTTGCATGAATTATTATAAAGAAAGAAAAGTTAAACGAATGGCATGTCTTGTTCTTATATTATTTGTATACGAACGCGTGATTAGTTAGAATTCTGTGTTCTCTGTGTTAATGCAATATGGACATTAACAATATGGACTTATAAATATAATTGAAGAAAACGTGTTATTATATAGTCATATTTCGTGAAATCATTCGAAAATGTAAATAAATTATAAGAACAATATACGATATATTTATGTTACTTCTTTTCTATTAAAAAAAATCTTTAGCATATAACAAAATGAATACTCAAAGATAATTTTATATTGCTTGATATAATTATACTTATCTATAGAAGTAAGTAAAAATTACAAGAGTTTCAATTGTATAGTCGTATTGCCGCTCTTGATAGGCTTGGTGCTGATTGGTGTATTCAAACGTGTAATACGGAAATCTCGCATATGATTGGAGAATGACGTTGACCGAAAAAACGTGAAGTTTATTGGTTAATCGATTAGCGAATCGGAAGTTACTTATTATTTTACAAATTTTTTATTTAACGAAGGAAGGAATGAGAGAAAATAAAGATTAAAGGATTAAAAGATTAAATTTTAGAAACAGAGAAAAGAGAGAAAGAAAAAGAAAAAGATAGTGCATTGAATGTAAAGTGATATGAAAAGTAGGATAATTTCGGCGAATAGTTATATTAAACGTTTCATCATAAATATGTTCAAGGGGTTATCGGTTAAATGATTATTGTAATATAAAGGGAAATAAGATTTGTAAAAGTATACGCGGTATGTACTGTAATGTTGTAGTATTTAATAATTATTAACAATAAGAGAGTATTAACATATAATGTTAATTTGAAATTGGCGACATTGAGCGGGAAAGCGGAGAGAATTTGCAATGATTCAGCTATGATGGTACAACCTGGTGGTCGCGGCTTGAGATGGCGGCCTTGAATGATCGGTGCGCGCAACGGGGTGCGCGAGCGTAAGGTAGTCGCGAAGTAGTCAGTGTTCGCGCCGCGGAGAACCAGAAAGACAGACATCTTGTAGTAGAATTTAGCGGCGTGGTGACTCGACCGTGAGGTGTCAGTGTCGCGGTACTTTATACGGTGTCGTCGTCGTCGTCGTCGCCGTCGCTGTCTGTCATCGGTCTCTCTTTAAATCGTTCAAATAAAAAAAGTTTGTTTCTCGAGTCTTCATCGTCGGTCGTCGCCGTCGTCGTCGTCGTCGTCGCCGCCGTCGCCGTCGTCGTCGGTGGTGTGCTGCAGCCCGATAGGCTAATAAAAACTAAACTTTGATATACGCGCT